TGGAAGTCCGGTCACCCAGGACAGAAGTCCTTGTAAACATTAACATTTCAAGTCAAAATACAAATAAATAATATTATTCAGTTCCCCATATTTCTTCAATGAAATCTCGCTGACCAATTCTGAAGTCGTGGATGTGGATGTCCTTCATGGCTGCGTTCATCATCACTAGAAGTTCCTTAAGTTCAGAAAAGATTTCAATCGATACTATCTTATCCCAACCTTCCTAAGTGACTGTCGTTTTAGACACTATTCACGTAGTAAGTAATCGTCCTTCTCGTGACTGAGAGAAAGGATGAAACGGAAGTCAAGTGCAAACAAAAGAAAATAATAAACATTGCAAACATCTGATGAAAAGAATAAGGATTCTTAATTGGAGACCATTATATATAAGAACACAAACTATAACACTAATCTGCCGTAATCGATAAAAACGTACATGGCGAAGTACAAATATGTATCCGCTCACGAAACATCACAAATGACAAGCAACGAAAATCATCGGGCATGTTACTACGCACCTGTAAAGTTAAAATATCATTGAGTACCTGCTTAAATGGCTCCGTAAGCATTTATGGGCAAGGAAGCGGTTCAGTCGCGCCATGTAAACCGACACAACTGAGCTATGTCTATCTCCTACTTAGGAAATTATCAAGAAGAACTTAAGAAACATTTACGCAACACGTAGAAGTAGAACCTGGGACACTTCGCAAATCACTTAATCAGGGAAAATGTTTCACACCTGCCTGATTGCAGCTGTCTCTATGGATAAGTGTTCAGACTTTTGGACATTTGTCGATACACACTTGCAGCCGCTAATTGACTTCTTAAAGAACCTTACTTTGCGCTTGCGTGTTGTTAGTACTTGGAACGGCAAAATGCACTGCTTTTCGACGTCCCACGCCACCACTTCGCAATCTATTATGTAAGACTTCGCTTTATTCCCGTCGTCGTCTTTCGCCACGACACTGGTTGAAAGCGTCTCTATTACATCCGGATATTTCGTAGTGTGATCTTCCTGGTTGCGACTGAAGATTTTGAAGGCACCTTTGCCAAAGTGAATCTAGCAAATGAATGAGTCAGTCTGATCAGTCAATGAAAGCAAGTAAAAACCTGAGCTCTTTCGCCGTCGTACTTCCACTCACAGGCGAATTCAGAAGAGCCAAAGCGACGCATCACATCTTCGATGCCTTTCGTTGGATACGCGAGCATTGGCTTTAAGGGAATACCAGGCGATATTTGACATTTTTTCGGCAGCGATTCAACTCCTTCGCTCAGAGCTATCTTTACGATTTTGTCGTAATTCGGGCACTCGCTAAATTGAAAGCATTCTAGTAAAGAAAAAAGGAAATGCTTCACATTTTAACTGAAAGACACGAACCGAAAGGGTTTTGAGAAAAGCTGAGCACGTAACGTTTGCCCTCTGAAAACACTTTTATAATAGTCAGATTATGAGGAATGCTTGCCGCCTAAATGCAACCACTAGCATGCATGCTCCAATTGCGCATCAGCGACAAAATCCATTTGTGACACTATTCATTTTTTGAGTTTATGGATGATCTCCGCTGATACACCACCAGTTAGGAGTGCCCATCCTCTTTGGTGAAGGCATTATCCACGCATAAGTAACGAGGCCGCCATGGCATGTAATTTCCTGCTATTTTTCCACGTTCAGTTGTCATCATCTCATCAGAAGGTGGACGGCGTGTGTCAACAGCCATATCTGACAGTCTCGAACGACAACTGTGACGCAAATCACATTTACCTGTGTCGAATGGATGAGGCCATCCAATCGGCGTTACCGTAGTCTAACTCTCGGCTACGAGTTTGAAGCTCACTAGCGTTCTCTTCTAGGAGGCAAGCATTCTGACTCATAACATGACTAAAATAATGGTGTTTCTGGAGGGCAAACGTTACGTGTTCAATTTTTCTCGAGACCCATTCGGTCCATGTCCGAAATCCCTTCGGCAGATTTGCACCCAATCAAACCACATTATGAAAGATTTAGTCGATCTGACTTCTGATTCTCTGATCCTTCAACTTTTCAACAGAAAAAAGCAAACAAGTTATTTGCAACCCTCTCGGACATTCTTTCTCAGTGCCTGCTCCGAAAGAGCTTAACTTGTTTTACCTGTGTGAACCTTCAATCAGAAAAGAATATTTCTGAAGTTGATTATTCCGTCGTTCGATTCAGAAGCAGTTAAATATGACTACTTATCCGTGTTCAATCTTTGCAATGCTTATTTAATTTTTCCCTTACTCAATTGTTTGATATTTTGTTTTATGTTGCAGGCTTTTTCATAATCGTTTGCAAAAATATCATGTAACAGCAAAATTCATTATCATCACCATAATCTTCCTTGAATGCTTCTCTTTTGGTCGAGGAGGCAGAAACGTCACAGCGCTTCCAAGGTTCCCGATCCGGTGCCAGAGTCTGAGCTTCGGCAGAAAACAGCTGTAGTCAGGAACAGACTTTCTCCAAACATTTGCACCAGGTTAATCTTGGCCGTACCCCGGGGCTTCTAAGAGTCGGTTGGGCAAGAAACAGATACCTAGCCTTCCTTTTTAAAGATATACACAACATGTGCCCAAACAATCGCAGCTGTGACTTCTCTATCTGAAGAAACAGCGGATACACTACGGCTCTCGCGCAAATCTGTATTTCGGAAAAAAATCGAGACACGTAAAGCCAGCGACTCGTCTCAGAAAGCCCATTTCTACCGCCTATACCCGGGTTTCACGTTCTCAGTCATGCTCCACGACTCATGCTCGTATATAAGCATGGGGATAAACATCGAACTGAATACCGAAAGCTCCTTCCATATGTTTGCACCAAGTTAATCTTGGCCGTCCCCTGGGCCTTCTGCCGGTCGAATTTGCAAGCAACAGTTGCTTAGCCTTCCCTTCCTTTCTGGAGGTATTCGCAACAGATAGCCAAACCATCGCAGCTCTGAATTTTCAATCTGGAGAAGCAAAGACTGTATTCCAAGGCTCTTCTGGATGTCACTATTCCGGACCATGTCGAGAGGCGTAAGGCCAGCGACTCGTCTAAGAAAGCCCATTTCAGCAGCTTGTACCCTGGATCGAAGGTTTTCAATGATGGTCCACCACTCATGACCTAGGTAAGTATGGGGATAAAGAACGACTTGAATATCGAGAGCTTAGTTTTCAGACTCAGCTCTGCTTTACTCACAATAGTTGAGGCAAGTTCAAGCAGAACGCCACTAGCTCTTCCAATACGAAGGTCGATTTCTTCCTCAAATCTTCCATCATTTGTAAATAGGACTCCGATGTACTTGAACTTCTCCAACCGCGCGACTGCCTCTCCGTTAATCTGAAGAAAGCAACGGAAAGGAGAACGAGAAAGCACTAGGCTTTTCGTTTCAGATGCGTTCACACGCATGGCCGTCATGCCCCACTTGGCTGCAAACTTTTCCAGGAAGCACTGTAGATCAGTTGCTGAAGATGCCAATAAAACAAGGTCGGCTGCAAACCGCAACCTTCCGTCTTCACATCTACTACACTAATACACTCATGGCCTTGGCTGCTTCTGACTATTCGATCCATGTACAACACAAACAGGAGAGGGGACAGGACGCAGCCTTCGCGGATACCAGTGCCAATGTTGAAAGGCTTCAATTTAACGCCATTTATTCTGACGCAGCACCTGCTATCAGAATACAGTGATTGAATGGCCCGTAGTAGCAGGCCATCTATCCCGTAAGCTTGCAAGCATGACCACAGACGGTTTCGCCGGATCCGGTCATAGGCTTTTCCTGGTCAACAAAGCACATTTACACTGGACTGGCGAACTCACACGATTTTTCAACAATATGGCGCAGGGCATTTGTATGGTCAGAGGTACTTCGACCGGCAAAGAAGCCACACTGCACGTTTTGTATCATGGTCCGTGACATCTCCTTTCTAGAACCTTTACGTAACCTTTGCGTGGGAGGTTCAGTAACGTGATATCCCGATAATTGGAGCACTCCCTGTGGCCTCACTTCTTTATTAACGGTATAACAACTCTCGTTCTCCAGTCCGCTGGTGTCTTTCCAGTAGCAACTGTAGCCCTACAGACACGTATCAGACAGTACATGCCTTG